TGTTAGGTAATCTTCTAGTTCATATATTATTGATCCACTATAGCATTTCTAATTCATTTACCCAACCTTTTTCATTTATATGAACAAACACATTTGCTGAAAAGCTTTCTTGAGGTATTGTTTTTCTTTTAAAAATGCAAACTGCTAGTAGTTTCATATCATCAGCTATACATCTAAGAATAACAGTAAAATTTTTTTTTCATTACCTAAGATACAAATGCTAATAGTATATACACCACACCTTTTAATCATTAAGAGATTTGGTGAATCAAATGTAAGAGGTGTCTTATTCATATTACCAATAAGAAATAAAAGATAATTATAGTAAATTCGTAAATTTAAGATATAATTAAGAAAATTTAATCTTTTTTCTTCTAAATCTTCAGATAATTGCTGTGAAACAGAAGTTCAGCAACAGATTGATGAATTGTAATGTTCTAAAAAACCATCGAGCCAATTGTTAGAAAATTTGAATGATACAATATTTGAAAAATTTTGAAAATCTATATTTTGAGTAAGTAAGATCACCTTTGCAGTTACTAATTCTTAGATAATAGAATTTTGTAATTGGTGTTGTTCTGTAATCCAGTTAGATAAAGTTGCTTTATTTGTAAATAGTAGGGTAAATATCTATGATGTAATTTAAAAACCTTAGGTGATGCTTTGATTAACTTTTCTTTATTATTTATCCAATCATGTAATTGATTTTGTTGGATATTAAATTTTCTAGATACTTCTTTAATATTTTGGAGTTCATTTTGTTCAAAATAAGTAATAATATTTAATTTTTCTTTAGCATTCTATTTTCTTTTTAATTTTCACATTATACAGGCTTTAGAAATACTTTTATTACTTAAGATTGGCATTTTTTTTTATTAGAAAAAATTAGGCATCAATATCATTTATTATTTATATATTACAAAAAAAAAAATTTTTTTTGTTCTTATGATTCTTATAATTGCAAAGAAGATTTATTGTCTTTATAGATGTATACAATTATATTATAAAAAATAAAAAAAAATTCTTTACACAAAGACAAAATTTTAATAATTGTATTGTCTAATATTTGTTAGCTGTCATTAGCTTAATAATTGCAAGACAAAAAAAATAAATTTCAAATAAAAATTTTATGTTTAGCATTTGTTTAAAATTTTAAAATCTAATGTTTGTTAATTTGAAAGCCAATCATTTTTTTAATAATTGTGATTGTTTAATAATGATGCACAAGCTATTAATTTAATATGCACCATAATAATATCTGCACAATCTGACAGAAAGGGGTGGTTTAGTCTGCAAAATATAGTAGATGTAATGGCTGTACAAGAGAAGAGAAACAAACAGAAGATAGCTGTCAATAATGAATTAAAATGAACAGCAAAATTAACATAATTTCAAATATGTTAATAAAAAAAGACAACAATAAAATTAATATAATAATAGATTAAATAACAGAAACAGTAAAAACAAACAGATCAGAACTTAGAGAACAAAAACTTGAAAGACTTAGAATAATAGAAGAATTAGAAATAGAAATTATTAGATAACAAAAGCTAAAGAAAAATATTAACCAAGAAATAATAGAAGTTTTAAAAAAAAATATAACAAAAAATAAAAAAAAGTATATAATAAACATAAATAGTATAGCAAATATAAAGGTCAAAGAAAATACAACAATCAAAAATAAAATAGATATAGAATGGGTTCAGACAAATAAAACACAAAAATGATCAAAAGAAAAAGTAGCACTAGGTCTAGAAGGATGACAGATATTAATAATAGCTAAACTAATAGCAATATAGACAGCAATCTTAACAATACTAAAGAAAAAGCAAGTAGAAATATATACAGATAGTAATGCTATAATAAGAAACATTAATAGAAGTTTGGAACAAGCAAAATAAAATAAGATTTTTTAAAAAAAGAATACAATATAGATAATGAAGATTAAAGACTTTATAATAACAAAAAACATTTAGATAAAGTTAGTTAAAGTAAAATATTATAGTAAAAATAAGTAAAATAACAAATCTAATAGTTTGACAAAAAAAGATATAACAAGTAAAAAGATAATACAAGCTAAAGAAATTAGTTGTAAAGAGATTTTTTTTAAATATTAACAGTAAGGCCATGCCTTTAACTTTATTGAAATTCAATTGAAGTTTTTACAAAGAAAAGCTTGCTTTTAAATTACATATAAAGAATAAAGACTCAAACATATAATCTGTGACCTAAACCTACAAGAGTGTCCAAGGCTCATCTAGATTTGGGTGTTAGTAATAATATATAAGAGAGAGGTGTGATATTTAATTCATTGGATAGTCCAAAAATCAATTTTAGTAATAATTTGTGATATTGAAATAGAAGGTAATAGTAAATTAGAGGGAGAATTATGCGTTAAGTTTGTAGAAGATATAATAGAAGACTGAGCTGATCATGAAAAACAATATGGGATCCATATTTGTTTATAGATTTGTTGGTTTAAATGAAGAAGAAATTTAATAGAGAGTGAGGTAACTATACAGTAAGGAATAGAAGTATTGTGAATAGTTGAAATAAGGTCAATAGGAACTAAGCCAGATAAAGTAGAAATAAGAGATGGTGTATGAGAAAATTTGTGCAGTTAAAAACTGGAATTTTTTGATATAAATTAGAGACAGAATTAGTGGATATATTAAGAGCAAAAGCATTTAAGATGCAGTTAAGAGAATGGGAAATTAAATAATAGATTGTTTGAATAAAAGGACAGAATGCCTAGTGTAATGAAGAACTAGTTTGATTGTATTTATGGCAGAGAGAAGAGTAGGAAGAGTTGCATTTGTGAAGAATATGAAGAACAGATAATTTATCTAAGAGAATTTTAACATAAAAGGTTTTTAAAATAGAGGAATGGAAGCTATGTACAAAGTTAGAAACTTTTTGATTATTATTAATGTAAAGCCAAGTGGCTTCCCAGTTAATATTGGGTATAATGGTAGACCATTATTGAAAACAATGTTGAGATGTCCAAAGTGTTATAATATAAGCTTAACAGATAGTACATATAGAGTATCAGATAGGAATCTTAATAGGAAATTGGTCATAAAAGAGAGTATATGCATGGTTGTAAGGGTTGTTACTTAGAAATGCTAGAAAGGATAGTATTTGGTGATTGCGAGCAAGCTAGTCAGCAAGATTATTAAATGGATCATCTTGGTGTGCAGTAACTTTGTGAAAAGTAAGCTGAATATTATATGAATTAATGAAGTTAATGAAAGTTTGCCAAATGGAGAAGTATGGAGTATAAGTATGAGAGAGTTTAGAAGCTAATGAGCAAATACTGTGATATTTTGAGATTACAGATTGTGAGTCAGTATAAATATAAACAGAGCAGTTTCTAGAAGCAGTAATGATTGCTGAAACTAAAACTTCTATTAATATAAAAAGTTATATATATATATATAGAAAATATAATATACTAATTTAAATTTAATATATAAATAAAAATTTTAATATTTAGTAAATCTTTATAATTGATTTACAAATTTGTTTATAAAACAAAAAATATCTTTTAATTTATTTTAGAATTAGAGTAAAGTTTAAATTTTATTTATACATTAGTATATACAAATTTTAGCAAAAATTTTTTTATTAAAATTTTAAAACAGTTTTATAAATAAAATTTTAAGATATTGAAATTTTTATAAAAAATTTTAAAAGAATATTTTTGTTTTATTATACAAGATCTTTATATTATACAAATGTTTTACAAATTTAATTAACTAAATTAAAGATTGCACTACAATATACATGCATTATATATATATTTTTATTTATTTATTTATATAATATTATAATAAAAACTTTAAGATACAATAAAAAATTTTAAACTATATTTATATTACTAAAAGATACAAAACATAACATTACATCTTCTATTTTCTAATAATGCTATAGATAATTGTTTTAATTTGTTTTTTAGCTAGAATAGATTAAAGAAAATCTTATATAGAAGTTAAAACATTATATAAAGCATATAGTTAAAGAGAAATTTTATAAAAGCTATTTGTTAATAGAATATATAATATTAATAGATTGTGTAAAGTTTAAAGAATTGTTATTTTTTTTTTTTTTTTATTTTATTAAAGCCGATGTTATCGGTAGCTACTACCTTTATTTGTGTTTTTGATCAATGCATTACATATAACTTGTACAAAGTAAGTATGCAACTAGCCACACATGTAACTTTTGGTTACCTATTTAAGTAGTCCGCCCAAGGGTTCTACACTAGCTACCATGCCTGTAACCTACTAGGAGGGTACCTATTTAAACACTCTGATCCTTATACTACACCTAGGCAAGTAACACCTGGTCCTTGTACAACTAAGTGTTGTCTAACCCAACATTTGGCTTCCCCTTTTGTACATCTGTCAAGCCATTAAACATTTCAGAATACGTCAGTTGACTGTAAGGTTCAGAGGTACCCCCTTGTTAACTACCTACCCACTCTACAGAACATTAACAAGACTAGCCCTTGTAAAGTTCAGTCAAGCTTCACTAATGTTGCTTAAATTGGGCATTTAGATAGACTTTTCGTGTTTGATGTGAAAGGTAATATAATAATTTTTTTCTAGATTCTTTGATTTTTAAACGTAAATCTTCTGATGGTACTGATATATAAATAGAATCTAAAAAATTAAACAATTCATCACAGTTGGAGCATCATGTTTCATGACTGTTAATGCATTCACCGAATGCGTAAGGTAGACAGTGGGAAATACAAAGATTGTGTTCTATATAACCATCTGCTCTAACTGTTAGCTCTTTTTCATAGCCTTGCCTAAGATGTCATTTGAGTTTATCAAGATGCTCTAAAGTTGGCACTAATAAAATTGGTTAGTAAAAAAAATATATTTTTAAAGTACTAATTAAGGTATGAATACAAAAAACTTTTAGACCACTCTTGAGTAGGGATATTGGTGAAATTAATTTCACCAATTCTACCAATTCAAACCAATAGGGTTTCATGTCATTTGCCCAACAACAATTTGCCTGACAACAATTTGCTCAACAACTATTTTCTCAATAATATTTTCAAAAATATTGTTGGAAAATGGTTGTTGGGCAAATTGTTGTTGGGCAAATAACATGAACCCTAAAATGGGTACTTTAATTTTAAAAATTAAACAATTATTTACTAACCATGAAATTTTTGTCTGTAGAATTAGAACGGATAATATTTTCCAAATTATTGAAGGTATCATATCCATAGTCATGGCAAATCATACATAATCCACCAAGATCTTGACAATATTTAAGGTTCTCTAAATTAGCTAATCGAGTCATAAAACTAGTCCTTTTTATACTGTCTGGGTAAGTTTCATAGAATTTTTTCCACATTTCACTTTTTTGATCATGCAAATATAGGATTAGTGATCTTTTTGAATCTGTATGGTATGAACTCATTACAACATTATCTCTATCTTGAAAAAAGGATAAAAATTGTTCTTCTTGAATATTTGTAAGCCTTGAAGCTGTTATTTTTAGCTTTTGCAGAAGTGGTGCACCTGGGCCATAAAGCTGTGCATGTTTTTTAGTACTATTTATTGAATCATTACTTATGTTTAATTTCTTTCTGAGAGTACTATATGTGAATTTCTGGGCAATAATGGAAAGAATGCGAATTTTACTATCAGACCCTCTTTTATTCGAAAGTAATGCATTCCAAAAACTATCCCAAAAGGTTGAATCTTGTGTTGGTTGTAAATTTTGCAAGAATTGGATAATATCATTTTTATATAGAGTTTCTAATAATTCTTTGTCTGCCATGGGGTCTGATGCTTTGCTCTAGAACTTCATTAAAGATTCAATTTTTGGAACAGGGGTTACATTGGTGCACCCACAAGCAGCAAACATTGACTGCCATGCTCGTAATTCTTTTTCTTGAAAAGTATATTCAGGTGGGTAAATTTTTTGTAATATAAGTGAGAATTGAATGATTGAGCTTTTTTGTTGATGCCACTTATAAAAGATAAGTGGCCAGTTAGTCATTGTATTAGAAATTTTTTGCATTTTGATATGATGATTAAATACTTTTTCAAGCTGTTGCATATTCACCCAATCATTTGGCATACATGTTGGTGATCTACCTTTTAGTATCTCTATACATTCTTGAACCAATTCGTCTGTAATTCCAAAAATATATGATACAGTATATTTTTTATAAATTTTCACCTTATTCCAAACATCATTTGGAGTTTGTCCTATGAATTGATGTGTATATACCGATTCTAAATAAATTTCTAAATTACATTGTTCTTCTTCAATTTTAAGTACAAACAGATGTTGTGCGACACAATAACGTGTAGTAAAAGAAGAAACAAAACCAGTACCGACTCCATAGAATTTATTTTCATCTAGATCACCAATACTTGTTATTGTTACATAAAAACCTTCAATTTGAAAAAAGAGTAGAAAAAATTCAACATCATCAATCAGTTGTCAAATAATAATCTTGTTTTCGAAACCCATAACGACTAGACCAGAGTATTCTGTTCTTATTTCAAAAACTTTTTGATAATATGCTTTAATCGCTGCTGATGGATTTGATTCAACATCAGATTTAATTGTATTGCAGGTATATTAAAATCCGGGCTTTAATGGATTTTGTGCACTTTGCACAACAGCAACACTGAAGATTTTATTGTTAAGTTCACATTTAATGACCATGTATAAATGATAAGGTATTATGAAATGTTTTGTTTCATCAACTAATTCCAAATAAACCTTTTCTTACCAAAATCTGAACCAAATTCCATAATGCGAGCTAGGGTCTATAACACCCTTGCTCAAGATTTTTGTATTGAATTGTCGCTTTCTTGACATTTCAAAAAAAGGGAGATATATATGCACAAAGTGTATATAGTAAATAATAAGGTATGTTTGATTCTCGTATTGTATAAAAAAGATTTTATCTAGGACAATATTTTAAATCCAAGGTCTTATTTTTTTACAGAAGCGAAATTGCAA